CCATGCCACCAGGGTTCCCACACATAAGACGTGCTTTAGTTGGATGGAAAGAAGTAAGAAGTGTCAGGAGGAATCTAATGGCCAAACACCAGTTCCGTTTGTGCAATAATGTGCTCTGGTTACAGTTTGACAGACGACTAGAACCTGTTTATGGTGAGTCAGTTCCAACTCATGGTGACCCTGGGTGTTACAGAGTAGAACTGCCCCATAGGGTTTTCTTGGCTATAATTTTTATAGGAATAGATTCTTGGGGATGGTGGCTGGGTTCAAACCACCAAACGTTAGATTAGTAGTCAAGTAAAAGCTTTGTGCCGCATTTCTCCATACATCTCTCCACACACAAGCCACATTCCTGTCAGAAGGAAATTACAGACTATTTTGAACGACAAGGTCTGCAGTTCAGACTCACCAACCCCTCCCAGAACTCCCGGAAACCCTCTACAGGGTCGCTGTGAGTCCGAAGGCTGTCCACAGTCCCTCTTCACCTCTCTGATGAGTTGTTGAAAGCGGGCAGGGCAGCTGGGTGTTTGCAGCAGAACATGTCTGGCTCTATTGTCCTCATATACATAGCAGATGATAATGCCTGCCCGGGACTTCTTGGAGCCCAAAGGAGACAGTGCATGCCGAGTGTTTCTCCCAGCGCCTGGCATACACCCACTAACCTCACTGCTGTCAATTCTGGTTCACAGTGACCCTACAGAACAAAGTAGAACTGTCCCCTAGGGCTTCTGAAACTGTCCAGCTTTAAGGAGACAGACGTTATATTTCTCCTGTGGAGCCTCCAGTGGCTTTGAACCACTGACCTTGCAGTTAGCAACCCCATGCTTAACCTGCTACATCACCAGGGCTCCTTGTCTGGCACATTGTTGTTGCTAACTGCCCTCAAGTTGGTTCTAACTCACAGCGACCCTGTTTAGGGTTTTCGAGGAGTGGCTGGTGGATTTGAACCGCTGACCTTGTGGTTAGCACTCTAGTACTTATCCTACTAGGCATTTGGTAATGCTGTAGGATCTGCACTGGATTTCAAACCACAAGGACAGCAGTTCAAACCCTGCAGCTGCTCTTCGGAAGCCCTATACTATGAGTGGGAACCATAGGGTCTCTATGAGTGGGAAGCAGCTCGATGGCCGTGAGCAAGAACACTGCACCAGAAAAAGGATGTGAAAAGAGCACTGACTTGGGAGTCCTAAGATCATAGTTCCAGCTACAGCACTGACATGAATCAGCATAGGGCTTTAGCATTCCCCTTCTTGGAGCCTCAATTTCCCCATTCTATACAGCGGTGGGCTGGTGCTGGGCCCTTACCGCTAGCTCTGGCACTATTTGAGTCCACAAAATAATAGTGTTTGACTCAATCTTGTACCCGGGGCGTGAGGATTTGCTCTCAACCCTGCGCACTTGGCAGGCCGGCTTGATGAGTGAGGCCCATTGCTGGGGCAGCAGGGGAGGGGCTGGGAGTCCTGCATCCTGGAGGCTTTTGCTGACAGTTCAGCTCTGACTCCTATTGGAGGCACAAAAACCTGCTAGTTGCCATGGATACGGGGAGCAGCAAAGAAGTTCCAGGTTGCTGATGGGCAGGAATGAGTGGGGGGCCTGAAGAAATTCATTTTTTGCTCTAGCTCCTCCCTCTGTGAAGCGGAGTGTGCCGACTCTTGGCTCTCCTGTTTTAGGGGTTCCCCCAAAGAGCTCACATTCTTTTAAGTATTTTTTTTGCAGCGTTGAAGGACTGTGTGGTTAAAAAACGAGGCAGCTACTGGTACTCCTCAGTGAAGAGGGAACACTTCAGTAAGACACAAAGCTAGAGGCAGGGAAGGAAGCTGGTGGGGGCTGCAATGGGGAGGCGCTTGTGATGCATGACCTCAGATGGGTCCCCTCCAAGAAGTTGTGTTTCTTCTTTGTTTGAACGGAGAGACTGAACTTGGACAGAGGTGCCTGAATCATAGTGATCATCAGAGTGCATGTGTTGATCCATTCCATCATTCACTGAACAAATAGCACAGAGCTGAGTGTCAATCATGACTTCAGATCAGAGTGGATCACATCATAGAGGAAGGGATCATATTACATTAGGTCTCATCACGGGGAATTCTGACATCGTAACTGCTGAAGCACTGAGAATTCTGGCCCAAACCTTAAAGATCACAGTCTCCCTGCCTTTTCCCTCTGCTCCCTTCAGTCTTGTGTTCCTCTCAGCTGCCACAAGGATGCTTCTAAATGTGAGCCACACCAGATCAATCCTCTGTTCGGAGGATTCCCATTTCACCATCTAGAGAAAATCCGAAGGTCTTCCCAGATCTACAAAGATTTCTTTGACTGTCTCTGTCCACCTGTCTGATCTCACCTCTTTGCACTTTAACCCTGCTCCTCCTTCATGCCGAGCATGAGCCCTCTTCAAGGTCTTCAAGTTTGCTATTTCCTCAGTCTGGAACATACTCCTCACAGATACCCACGTAGTCAGCTGTACGTTACTCTGTGGCAAATCATTATTGTATAAAAGAGCAGTCACCAAGTACCAGGTCTCACAGTTTTGAGTCAGGAGTCCAGCTGGATGGGCTGTAGTTGAGAAGTCAGCCAGGTGCACTCATCTGATGGCTTGACTGGGGATGGAGGATCCATGCCCAGCGTGGCTCACTCACATGGATGTCGGCTGGAGGCCTCAGTTCCTCACCATGTGGAGCCTGTCCACAGGACATGCGGCCGGCTCCTTCCAGATTGACCAATTCAGGAGAACAAGGCAGAGTTGTCGTTCATCATCTCAAAGTCATGCTGTATTAATTCTCCCACTTTTTATTCATTAAAAACCCGTCACTGAGGCCATCCCACATTCAAGGCAAGGAGAGATAGGCTCCATCTTTGGATGGTAAGACTGTCAGAGAATCTGAATACCCTTTGAAGCCTTTACAGACTACAGAAGGTTTCCATTATGGATTGAGTGAAAGTTTACAGGGCAGATCATCAGTTTTACATTCAACAAATCATACACCTTGTTTCATTACGGTGATTAGAATCCCCTCCATGTACCATCAGTTAACAGTATTTCTCTTTATTCATTTTAGATGTATATATATATTTTTAAACACTCAGGCATATATAATAATTTGCACCACCAAAGGGCACATTCTGCAAGTCTGCCTCCTGGTCGCCAGCTCTCAGTCCCTCTCTTTCCATGAATCTAGAGTCCTCAGCTGCTCCCTCTCTCCACGTCCCCATCTCTGGTGTCGTTGCTTCTCTCAAACCACTGACCTTTCAGTTAGCAGCTGAGTGCTTAAGAACTGTGCCACCAGGCTCCTTTACTCCTGGTTCTTGTTAAGTGCCATCGAGTCAGTTCTGATTTGTAGTGACCCTTTGTATGTTTTCTGAGGAGCGGCTGTTGGGTTTGAACCACTGACCTTGCGGCTCAATCTGACTTTGAAGTCCAGTGCATTATCCTGTAGCGAGCGTCACACCAGGAGCCAGGAAATCTGAGAGGCAGGCTTTTGAGTAGGCCCCCTCCTTTCCCTCTCTGGGCCAAACTCACGGCATTTCCCAGTGATGTTGGGAAGAGAACTCCAGGCCATCGTGGGAACAAGGAGAGGACCTCTTGTTGGTTAAAGCAAACCCACTGTCACTGACTTCATGCTGACTCACAGTGACCCTACAGGGCAGGAAGGACCACCTGGGTAGGTTGTCCAGGGCTGTAAATCTCTTATATGTGCAGCCAGCCTTTCTTTTCTGTCTCCCGAGGAGTGGCTGGTGGGCTTGAATTGCTGACCTTGAAGTTAGAAACCCAATACTTAACCTACGGCACCACCAGGGCACCTTCATATCTGCTGCTGTTAAGTCGGTTCTGACTCATAGTGACCCTGTATAGGGTTTCCAAGGAGTGGCTGGTGAGTTTGAACCGCCAACCTTTTTGGTTCAAACCGGCCTTGTGGTCCAATGCTTTATCCCACAGGGCCACACCAGAGCCAAGGAGTCTTAGTTGAAGGTTCAGTTTAAAAGGCAGTGAAGAGAAAGAGAACCGGCCGACTTCAAGCCTTTCTGCTTGCATGTTGCGTATTCTTCTGTTGTCCTCATAACAACCCAAAAATGTAGAGACTGCTATGGTGTGGTGATTAGCAGTAGTTCAAACCCACCAGCTACTCCTCAGAAACCCAATATTCTTTATTTTATACCTGAGGAAACTGAGACAGAAAGATGAGATGACTGGGCAAAGGTTAGGTACAAAAATGGATTGGGACTAGGGAAGGAGTGGGATGAATTCTGCTGTGCTTGGATGCCCATTTATACTTTGAGAGAGCAAAGATCCTAGAATTTCTTTTGAATGGCTTCTAGCCTCTGCCTGGTGTGGCACTGTGAGATAATGCATTGGACTGCAAAGTAGGTTTGAACTACAAGGTGGATAGTTAAAATTCACCAGCCACTCCTCAACACCGTCTACAGGGTGGTTGTGAGTTGGAACTGACTCAGTGGCACTTAAGCACCACCATAAGCATCTGTCTGTGGTTTAGTCCCGCTAGGCAGGGTGACGCTGCAGTACAGACTCCCAAATTGCAGGGCCTTAACCTGATTACACCTTACTCCTCTCCGGCAAAGTCTGATGGGCTTCAGGCATCTTTCCTAGGCTCTCAGAATATGTGACCTCCCAAGTCCCAGTAACAGTGGCAGAGGAAAAGAGCTGGAGAAGGCACATTGAGGACCTTGAACTGGGATGACACATAAGAGTGAAATGCTTAGTTGCCAACTGAGAGATTGGCACCACAGGAGAAAAGCCTGGTGTTCTCCTCCAATAAAGATGACGGCCTCGAAACCCTTGTGGGGCGGTTCTCCTCTGTCACATGGGGTCGACTCAGTGGCCCCCAACACAACTCCCTCTCTGAGGCCATGAGCCCAAGATAACCTCAAGACCCCAGCCTACCACAAGGGGACCTGGGAAATACTGGGAAGTCTCAGGCATGTCTGGTGAGCAGTACATGTGTCTGCCACAACCTAATATTGTTGCCTCCTTATTTCTTCTGTAGGGCAGAGCCCCAGAGCAGCCCTGTGGTCCCAGCTCAAGATGGCCCCTCGGAAAAGCTGGGTCAGCGTCTGGCCACTGAGGCCTTGGGCACCAACAGCTGGGAGAGAGACAAGGCCTGCCGGAAACCAAGTCCTGCCAATGCACGCAGGTAAGACCCTTACCATCCTCTCACCCTGATGGGATGTCCAGTTGGAGGGTGCAAAATGGGTGTGTCCCTTAGGTCACCAAGCCCCATGCTCTTGTGCCAGTTCTACAAACTTTCAAAGTCTCCTCATCAAGTAACTGCCCAAAATATGGCAGCCAGTAAGTACACAGTGAAGTTTGAGCTCCAGTCTCCATGATCTTAAATTGTGGCTTCAGAGCCGCCATATTTTGTCACCTGAAGAGATGGTCCATGCCCTGCTGAGTTCTTTAGCATTGTTCAACAGAAATACAAGTGGGTGCCTTCAACAAATTCATTTTGCCACACTGTAGGAGGCTGGAAGTCCAAATTCACAGTGCTGGCACTAAGGGAAGACTTTCTGTCTGTGTCGGCTCTGGAGAAAGATTCTTGTCTCTTTTCTGCACCTGAAAGCCCAGCATTCCTTGGGAATCTCCGTGCACCTTGGCATCAGTCTTCCTTGGATCTAGAAGTTCACAGTGCAGGGACCTCGGATCCAAAGGACACACCTTAGTACCAGCTCAAGCTCAACCACAACCCCAATGAAACTTCCTTTCAGTTGACTGGCTGCTCACAACATGACTCATCATGGGGGAGCTTAAGTTACCTGCTAACCCACTGAGAATTGTGACCCAGTCAAGCTGACACAAAACTTCACTATCACACCTGCTCTCTGGTTTTCCATGTTGATCCACCTTTGGCTTCTGTTTGTGAGGCTGTCTGTGCAATTCAACAACCTCGGCTGGCCTGGAATCTTCAAATGAATTTTCCAGTACCTCCCTTCGTTAGCCTATATCTATCCCCCAGTGACAGGGAGAAAATTATATGCTTATTAGCAAAATTCCCCAGCTATAATCCAGTCTGTTTATGCTTCATCAGAGCCATTTTATAGATAAGGAAACTGAGACCTGTTTGAGCAGGAACCGGAAGAGGACTGAATATCCCTGACTCTGATTATAAAGGCTCAGACATCTCAGGGAGTCCTGGTGGTGCAGTGGTTTAAATGTTGGGCTGCTAATCACAAGGCTGGTGGTTCAAACTCATAAGCTGATCTGTGGAAGAAAAAGGAGGCTGGCTGCTCTTGTAAAGATTTGCAGCCTCGGGAACCCTACAGAGGAGTTCTACTCTGTCCTCTAGGGTTGATGAGAGCTGGAATTGATTTGACAGTCCTGAGTGTAACGAGTCATATTTCACTCTCTGAATGAGGCCGCTACACATGTCACAGCTGCGTGTGTCCCCGTTGTCCCCCCTGTGCTGGCAAACCCAGGAGAATTGAGGCAGAGAAAGGAGAGGTGGAGGAAGGCAGGAGGAGATGGTCCCATCTCTGAAATCTACACTTGAGACCATGGTTCTCAAACCCTGCTCTGCCTGAAACCTGGGCTTCCCCCAAGTTACAGTAGTCACCTGCAACCTCACATTGTCCCCTATTGGGCCAGATATGCTTTATAAGATTTTTTTTTAAGTACTTCTGTAGTGAATGCTCCCTCCTCCCCCACCACAAATTCCTGGTGGCTGTTAGTGGGATGGGAGAACGATGTAAGGACTGAATATTGGAAACCCTTGGAAGCAGTTCTGCTTTGTCCTAAAGGGTCACTAGGAGTCAGAATTGACATGGACGAAAAGGGTTTGGGAAAGCTTGATAGAAAATAAGATAACCACCAAGCGGCTACATAATTCCATCCATTATTCTTCCATCATTCGGTCACTCATCAGTGACCAGACTCTTCTTGCTCGCCATCCAAGTGGTCCAGCACTTTCATGCAGCCCGCTGGTCTGCTTCTGACACATGTGTACAGTGCTGTGTGCTTTATTACTTGGAACTACAGGTTAAGTAGCCAGGTATTGAATTCCTATGATACCTTCTAAAAGTGACTCTGTTGAAAATATCAATCAGTTGAAGATTTTTGTTCTGTTTTATTGTGGGGTGGTTTGTTGTTTGTGGTGAAGGTTTACACAGGATGTTCAGTGACATTGGTTGCATTCTTCACAGTCTGTGAGCATTCTCTTTATTTCAGTTCTGGTGGTTTCCTGTCCAGTAATCTCATTTCCCTGTGCCTTACAGTCTGATCTGTGTTTTAAAGTAATTGTTGGTTGTTAAGTGTCATCAAGTCTGTTCCGACCCATAGTGACCCTGTATAGGGTTTACGAGGAGCAGCTGGTAAGCTTGAACCACCGATCTTGCAGTTTAAACCGACTTTGCAGTCGAGCACATTAATTAATTACTGATTACTTGTTCTTATATAGATGGATTTTTTTTTTTAAGGGAGCACAAAACCTAAGAGTGGTAGTCATTAGTTTGTAAACCAATTTGCTATTTGGCTACAAGGTTTAAAGACTATAGGACAATTAGTCTTGGAGAGTATTCCATTCTAACCAGCCTCGTTTGTCTGGGTTTTGTTTTTGTTTTTGTTAATAGGGATATGATGTTCTGATGTATAGTTTCTCTCATCAAGGCCCATCTGGTGTAGTCCTGATCAGAATGGTCAGCAGTGGTAGCTGGGCACTGTCTAGTTCTTCTGATCTCAAAGTAGATGAGGTCATGGGTCAAGTTTTATGTTTGCTCTGGAGGAGTAGAGAGCAACAGCTGCTTCTGGAAAGGCCATTTGCATGCATTTCTGACTTCAAACCCTACTCACCAAAGTAGGATGTGGACCCTAGTTAATGAACCGTATTGTGTCACTTGACTGAGATGTCCCAGGAGACTACAGTCCTACTCCCTCAAACCCAGAACTCCAATCCTGTGAGGAGTTTGGTTATGTCTAAGACCTATCCAGAACTGTGACTCTCTCTGTGCTGTATTTTACCTGTAAGTGCATGCAGTCACATAGAATCATACACATATGCATACTCGATCATATATACATGTGTACATGCATGATGTTGCAGGCAATGCACTGATTGAAAGGTCGGTTTGAACCACAATGTCGGTGGTTCAAACTCACCCACCAGCTGCTTCTCAGAAAGTCTATAAATGGTTGCTATGAGTCTGAACCTACTCAATGGCACTGAACCACACCATGCTGCATATCTATTCCTATACACTACAGATTTACCTGCACATGGATTTTTGGTGGTTGTTACCTATATCATCACAGCTCCTTTGTTCTTGTGTATTTTCTAGTGATGTCCTTTCCCTTCATCAAGCTGTGTACACGTTACCCTCACCTACTGTTACCTAGATTGAGGACTTTTACTTGAAGTCTTTTTGAAGCTCTTCATATATAGTAAGGGGATAGACTTCACTATGTGTGTTGTTGTTATTAAGTGTTGTCAAATTGGTTCCAAGTCATAGTGAATCTTTGTAGGAATTCCAAGAAACAACAGCTGGTGAGCTTGATCTGCCAACTTTGCAGTCCAATGCATTAACCCACAGTAGTTTCCAAAAACTTTTTTTTTCATTGTGGATTGAGTGAAAGTTTACAGGGCACATCATCAGTTTCACATTCAACCATTCATATATACCTTGTTTCATTACATTGATTATAATCCCCTCCATGTACCGTCAGTTAACAGTATTTCTCTCTATTCACTTTAGCTTTTTCAAAAAACACACAAACAAACAAACAAACAAAAAAACCACTCAGGCATATATAATGATTTATAGCTCCGAAGGGCACAGTCTGCAAGTCTGCTCCTGGCCAGCAGCTCTTAGTCCTTCTCTTCTTAGTCCTCAGCCACTCCCTGTCTCTATGCCTCCATCTCTGGCACTGCTGCTTCTCTGGATAAGGTCCCGCATTCTGCTTGTGCGTTCCTCTCTTGATGGTCCTAGGGTCCTCTGTTTCTGGACTGTA